TGTGCCACATGTTTGGGAGGTTACTCAGCACTCCCCCACTTCCCATGATGAGTGGGAAGTGCTAGTAACTTCCCCCAACCAACCGAGCCCACTAAGCCACCACCTCTTGTAACCGCAAGCCATGACTTTGTGTTATCCATGCTCTAGCCACATCTGAGTCAACCTTGTGAACCTAGCCCAAGTCCACCAATCTGCACCCACATATATATGTCTCTGAGTGCACGGCGTGCCAAGCCATGCACGCCCGTGCGCACGCTCAGGTGCACACCAAAGTGCACGCCGGCGCACACACTAGTGCCCTTCTTTGCGCGCCATGTTTATACCCTCATGCGCCCGTGGCTGCACACCCACCTGGACGCCCATGTGCACGCCGAGCTAGACGCTCGCGCACACTAGGTTGGACGCCTACCCGCGCGCCAACCTGCACTCCCGCACGCACGCCGCTGCACTCCAGCGCGCGTGTCGGTGCACACTTATTTGCCCTTCAATATCTTAGATGCTCCCCACTTGTGCAACCATCTTGGAGTGGTGCAACACGTGCCCATGCACGTTGGCTAAGCCCTCTAAGCAAGCCATGCCATAGCCCAACCGATGCGCTCAACAGACCCCCCCCCTAATATAGTCTTAAGGAAATCCAGCACTCTCACAGGAGTAAACATCACCCATGCTTGAGGAGTCATAATGGCCTTTCAGACCTTTCCCGACATCCAAATTAAGTGCCGTCTGCGCCAACCAGCTTCTATGGACTCAAGGTATCTCCCATAAAGATCCCGAGTCAAAACTCCAAGTTTCACTTTTCGCCATATTTACGAAAGTGCCACTGGGCACCCCCAGTGCACGCCGAGCATCCTTTTAAGCATCTTGTGTGCACGCTGAGCATCTTGTGCACGCTGACAACCCACTGAGCACCCTCATGGCTGTCTAATCAAAGCCAAAGTATTCCTAAGACATGGCATGGCCTTGAAATGCCCATGTCTTCCCTTGGACAACCGTCAAGGGGCTAACAGGTAGTATGGTGCCTGTTGATAAATACTGTACATTCTAAACTCTCTATATTGGCATCGTTTTTTATTATTTCAGTAAAATTCTTGCAACCTTTAGATATACTACTAGTTTTGGGTCAATCAAGTGTAAAAATATATGTATTCTCGTGTGTGTTTGTTCTAGTTTTCTTTATTTCCTGCTTAATTTCGCAACAACTAATGCATTTAAATACCCCATTTCCCTTGTAGAAAAATGCAAAAGAAGTTGGGTAAGTGTCCATTTTTGCTTCTCTTAAAAGCATTTCGATTTTCTATAATGTATCTCTTATGCTGTGTGAAAGCAAAACGGAAGCGATTTAAAAATTTCAAGATCTTATCCACATGATTTTTCATCAAATCAAGAACACTTAAAAGAAGTTTATACATTTGGACGATTGAATAATCGTCGAATACAAGAACGTTTTTTCTTTTTTGGAAGTGAAACGCACTCACTCCTTTAGCCTTGAACACCAAGTGAATCTTCACCTCTATATCCCCAGAAAATACAGCTTTGTGGAACCCTCTCTCTCACTCTCAATTATTCTGTATTCTGTAAGTTTGTGCATGAATAACTGAATAATCAACCTGAGAGATATATTACGTATATAGATGGGGCTAGAGATGAAGGATTAAATTGGTTACTCAAGGAATATAAGAAGTAAGTATGTCTTAGGTGGGACAATATTTATTTTCCTTGGAGCTACTTATGGATATCGGGTAATAAAGAGACTTATATGTAGTTATTTAGTATGACAGGACCTTATTGTAATTTCTGAATCCTAGAGTGCAATTGCAATATAATTGTGGTGCTTATTGTAATTAATTGGATATCCAATTGGAACTAGGATAAGAATCCTTTTTGATCCTCGTATGATCAATGAAAGAATTTCTTTTATAAAATAGTTTTTTTAAATAAATATTTTTTTAAATAAAAAAATAATAATAATTTAGTAAACATTTTACTAAAATGCTCTGGCCAAGTTCCAGTGACCAAATTGTTAAATTGCATCCAGGGGATATTCTAACTCTTCTAAAGAGTGTGGATTCCATGTTAAGCATTTGTGTTCCTACAGCTCCAACATTAGCCACCCAAGATACTGTGATATTGACCTTAAAAGATCTCACACATTGGTAAGTCAAAGTGACTAATACTGAAACTTGAGACCTCTTAGGATTTAGAGCTTAATGTCTCTAGTAGATAAAAATCACATCAAAATAATGATAGTAATTTGTATGGTGTGATCTTATGATGATTCAGTTTAGTATACTCTAAGCACACTAACTTAGAGTCAACTACCTCAATGGTCAAGACAAACCATTCTATCTCATAGAGGTCAAGTATGTTACAATCTTACAGATAAAAGTGCCCAACTTTTATCATCGACTGCGAATGATGTTAAGGTGCAAAAAACCAGTGATCGAGCTCAAATCTCCTGTACGTAAATCTCATTCACAAATAGACTTAAAAATGGATTGGATTCAAAATTTGGGGTTCGAGTCTCGCAGGGTGTTCTTTGTGGCTAACCTTTATTACCCCTACAGTGACTTATCCGGCCCGGGTGAGGAGGCGCCTTTCCGAATTCTTAGGGATTAGTCGGGTTGTTAAAGGACCCTAAAGGTTGGTGCCATTCCGAACACCTCAAGTTAATAAAAATAAATAAATAAATAAGTGTTATTACTCACCCACACCCACACCCACACCCACACCCACAGATACAAAAGAAGAGGTAACTATGGCAGTTCTTCTAACAACAATTACTTCATACTGCAATTTAAAATAAGAAGGAAAAAAAGAAAATAAGAGAGTCAGAACAACAAAGGAGTGTGCTCGTATAAAGTTTTCCATTTCAACTAACGGTCAGGATTGTTTGGACCTAAAACAATTTTTACTGTAAAACAATTTTTAAATATATCGACAACATTTAATTTCTCCATCAATCTCTGAGAAACCTATCCCTGGATACTCGATGAACTCGAAACTCCTGTATCGAACACACCATTTGGTAATTAACAATAAAAAGTAATGAAATCAAAAGTCAAGTCCACGTACTTCAAAGTCATCTACGCATGGTCCCGTGCATCCCAAATTACACTTAAATTAAATGGAGTCACAACATGACCATTCTTCCTCTCTGAAAGGTGTTACAAAGATATTTGTCCCCAACGTCACCTTCGAATAGAAAGTGAAATGTGTATAAATGATTAGATATGCATCACTACTAAATAATTTATATTTTTGAGTAAATGAGTAAGTATTTATCCGTTACAGTTGGTATCACATCCTGATTCAACTGTTATACTCATCAACCACTCTGCGCCTGGTCCGGAGGGTTACGCCAACCATTCAGTCCTTAATCTGGTGTCACGCCAAGCGTCTAGCTCGGTGGTGTCCGAGTGAGCCCAACGGCTCAATCACAACGAGGGCGTTGCGAGTTCGGGTGAAAAATGTTATAATGATATTTGTCCTACATCATATTTGGATGGAAAATGAAATGGGTAAAAATGGGTGGGTATATAGAAATACCTAATAACTAGCTTAAATTTTTGGGGTACATTCTTTGGATGTATTTCTGCGAAGCGAAGATCAAGGGCTCAAGAGGGACATGAGTTGTATCTTAGAGTCATACTGAACTGCTAGGCCTTATCCTGACCAATTCTTTCATACTTATTTTATTATTGTTGTTTCTCCTTTTTTTTTTGAGAAAATATAAATGGTTGTTTTCAATTTATAATTTCTATTATTGAGTTACTCTATTGTTAAAATTCTATGACTCGTGGTTATCTCTATGTCTTGTTTAAATCCACAAGAATTATTTTATTTCTGATCACAAATAAAAACCAATAGTTTAGGGGAGGTTACTTGCTCGGGGAGTTGGGCATTCTACCAACTAGCCCAGTGGGTAATACTCGATAGAATATAGGTCTAGAATTAAAATTGATGGACTAAGTTGTGAGTATTTATTTATTTATTTTATCCTGGCAAACTAGGGAGTGTGAAGAATTGAACACAGGCATAGCCGCATAACCATTTGAGGGGTTGGACATTCTGCCAATTAACTCACTAAGTAATGCTCGATGTAATATAAATCTTGAATTAGATTTGATGGACTATAAGTTTTTTTTTTTTTTTTGTTTTTTTTGTTTTTTGGTCCTAGCAAAGTTGGGGATGGGAAGACAAATTTTCATTCTAAGTCTTGAATTAGAATTTTTTTATTGTTTTTGGATAAGGTGTTAGGATAATATTAATACAATTTTTAATTAAAACTCGAGAATAATAATAAATTACAAGATTATGACCAAGTCCCAAGAACAAAGAGGCCATATAGCAGTAATAAAAGAATAGTCAAATGGGTATTGCAGCAAAGGCCCCCTAGAAGGTGATAGTTTTCTCTCATGAGCACCACTGGACTCCAAATATAAAGCAATTTTAATCTTTGTTTTTATTCAAGCTTATCATTTCTAGTAATAAATCTATGAAAGGTTTAAACTGAATTTTCCATTTACATTTCAATTCTTGTCTTTTTGTTTAAAATTCTTGAAAGTACAAGTCTGAAAAGTTTAAATTGAATTTTCCATTTACATTTCAATTCTTATCTTTTTGTTTAAAATTCTTGAAAGTTATAAGTCTAAAAAACATAGTGACTCTGCAATGACAATCAAAGAATAGTGTTGCGGCAAAGTCCTACATCAAAAGACGATGTTTCCTCTCATGACCACTGGACTACAAAAATAAGGCGATTTTTTTCAAAATCATTAATATTCTTCATTCTTAGTCAAACTTTTGATCCTTAATATCAAATTTATGAAAAGTATGCATCGAAATTTCAATTTCCTTTTCAATTCTTGTCCTTTAGTTTAAAATTTTGATTTTTCTCATTATCATTATTTTTCATTCTTAGCCAAACTTGTGAAGCATTGAATTTTCATTTTCAAGAAGTTGCGTCCATAAGTTTGAAAAAGAGGTACATCATACACAACATTTCCTCTATATATACACATTTGTTCGCCACTCCACTATCTTCATATCTCAACTCCATTGACAAGAAAATATCACACTACACAATCACAAAAGGGTTTCTACATATGGATTTCCTTTCTAATCCCATCTCATTCACAGTAACAGCTTTAGCTGTAATCTTTGTAATATATCTCACCAAATTTGTTGTCCAACTCTCATCATCAGACCAGAAAAAGAGATACTACCCTGTTGTTGCCACAGTCTTCCATCAACTGCTACACTTTGAGAGGCTGCATGACTACATGACTCAACTCTCAAGCAGAAACAAGACTTACAGATTGCTTGACCTTTCTCGGAGCCAAATTTGCACTGCAGACCCTGCAATTGTTGAGTATGTCCTCAAGACCAACTTTGCAAATTATGGCAAGGTTCGTAATACCTCATCTAATAGTGTGTGTATATATATGTGTGTGTTCGTGTGTGTGTATCTTTGTTCATAGTTAATTATCAATATTGCTTGCAAAAAGTTGGCTGTAGAAAAAATTGCAGTGTGATGAAATCTTGTATTTCAGTTCACGATGAAGTCGAATCCAATAGTTCTGTGTTTGGCTGTCAAGAAATAGTGAGAAAAGAAAGGAAGACTTCGAATATTTGGACACCCAATCCAACCCAAGTTTTTTCAAGTTTGAGTGCTTGATTTTACATTTTATTTTCAATTTTTTGTTCTGAAATTCAAGATTGCATATGGGTTTTGAGTAATTCAACAAAAAATCACAATTTGAACCAATTTCCACTTCTTCTTGTGCAAATTTTTTGCTACCTTAAGGAACTGATTTGAACTTTAAAATTTGGTTTTAAAAGTGTATGAACCTGAACATTGGAAATTATATATTTTTGGGATATTTTCCACCCATGTGTGTATGAGTGGGTGTATTACATATATATGTATATATGTGTGTGTGTGTGTGTAAAGTGACCTAACATAGGACCAGTGGGGATCCCCCACTAGATTTTTTATATTTTTATTTTATATCTCAATTGTTTTAGAATTTATGAAAATTTTCACTAAAATTATAATTTGCCTTATTAAATTCTTTTATTTTGTGCATTTTATATTTTAATTTTTTTAGAATTTATGAAGATACTCCCACTAAAATTACAATTCGCCCCACTGAATTAAATTTTTTTTTTATTTATTTTTCATTTTATATTTTAAATTTTTAAAAATTTATGAAGAAAACATAATTAAAATTACAACAATAGACTCACAATATAAAAGACCCCCTTCACAAAATTTTTTAAGTCCATCGCTGCGTGTAAGTGACAGCTGAATCAAATTTGCTGCAGGGATGGTTCCATCATAGCATCTTGATGGCTCTTCTAGGCGATGGGATTCACACGGTGGATGGAGGAAAGTGGCAACACCAGAGGAAAATATCAAGCTATGAGTTCTCCACCAAGATGTTGAGGGACTTCAGCAGTGTAGTATTCAGAAACAATGCAGTAAAACTTGCCGGGATAGTGTCTAAAGCTGCAACTTCCAATCAAACAATTGAAGTCCAAGTAAGATTATATATCAATTCATATAATGGAAGTTTAGCTATTTCTTCTCATTCATACATCAAAAATAAATAAACCATGCACCACACAATACACGCGGTTCCGGCTTATAATCAGGCAAGAGATTTCACTATGCGAAGAAAAACGGACTCAATCTTCCAATCCTCTCTCTCTCTCACTTTCTATATCGGATTTAAGTACTGCTCTCTTATACTCACATATATATACTAATCATTGTGTTCAATTGGCAGGATATATTTATGAAATCGACATTGGATGCAGTATTCAAGGTTATACTCGGCGCAGAACTAGACAGCATGTGTGGAACAAATGAAGAAGGTGCCCTGTTCTCCAAAGCTTTTGATGAAGCAAGTGCCATAACCGTGTATAGATATGTCGATGTATTTTGGAGAATCAACCGATTCTTGAACATCGGATCAGAAGCGAAAATGAGAGAGAGTATCAAAGTTATTGACAGATTTGTATATAAATTTATCAGAAGCAAGACCGAACAAGGTCAAGAGTTGAAACACGATTCATCAATGAGTTCTAACATCTTGACCTCTTTCATTTTAGGGATGGCAAAGGAACCGGTTTGAAACAGGGCCCTCCTTTCCCATCTTTGTCCTTCATTAAAAAAGTATAACCCATTCCTGTCCAAAAATGCTTGTCAAAATATCCCCTAGCTCGTCATTGGCCCCTTGGAAAATCCCCCACCCTGCCCCATTTAACAAACTTTTTGTTTTAAAAATATATATATATGTATTAGAAAAGATATGAGTTTATGAAATATTAAAGCCACAAGATATTATAAATGGGGCGGGATAATTCAAGGGGTTGGTTCAAGTTCAAGTGAATAAGTTATTTGGTTGTGGTGTCTTACGAAACATTAGGTCTGAGCAGAGTCGGCCTGTGCCTAGGCGACCAAGGCGATTGCCTAGGGCCTCAAATTTAGGCCAAAAAAAAAGAAGACATCAACACCTATGGCCTCTCAAACTTTTGGGCCTCTCAAATTTAGGACATTCGCCTAGAATTTTCCAAAATTTTGAGCTTCTCAAGGCCGATCCGGGTCTGAGATTCAACTTCTCTTAGGTGCAAATAATTCGGTAGGTGGAATCCGCAACCATACCGGTTTCTAACCCTTCACCGCGTCCCCAATTAAGCAATCCCAAAACCATCCCAATAAGTACAGGCAGGGACGGAGCTAAGGGTGGGCCAGCAGTGGCCATGGCCCCCCATACTTTCTTAAAATTGTTATTTGTATCTCTATATATTAATTACTTTGTAGGTTTTGCCCTTAAAATTCATTAAAAATTCAATTGGCTGAACCCCCATTATTTTTTTTTTATTTTTATTTTTTTTCAAAACACTTTTATCTTGACAAAAAATAAAGAATTTGAAAATAAATTTAGTTTGTGTCCCCTTTTAATAATTTTTCGACTTGGAATCTTTTAAATATATTTTTAAAAGCTCAAATTTAAGAATTTTTATAATTAATGTATAAATATTTTTAAGTTTAATTACATAGTACAAAACCGGCCCCCCAACCTCAAGTTTCTGTCTCCGCCCCTGAGTATGGGCAGGGCAAATCTGTGGGGCGGAATTTTTATTTATTTATCATTTTTTAGTTGTCAACCAACAAAATTAACGTATGTATTGGATAAACATGAATGGCAGACGAAAAAGGTGGACCTTGTGTCAAGGCTTCTGGAGGCAAATGAGACTGATCCAAAGTATTTAAAGGACTTCATCCTCAGTTTCATAATTGCTGGAAAGGACACAACAGCTGTTGCTCTTTCCTGGTTCTTTTACATGATATGCAAGTATCCACTCATTCAAGAAAAAATTGCTCAAGAAGTTAAAGAGGCAACACAAATGGATATTCAAAATTCAAGTTTTGAAGAGTTTGCAAATGGTATCACTGAAGATGCTGTCAACAAGATGCACTATCTCCACGCAACATTGACCGAGACACTCAGACTCTATCCTGCAGTTCCTGTGGTAACTAATCTTAAAACGAAAAATACATGAGTAATGATACAGAGTCCGAGAGTCGGATACATTCAACTAAAATTACGTGAGTAAGAGATGATGTCATGATGATGTCATTGCCACTCACATGAAACAGTCGGATACATCCAACTTTCGAATTACTTATCATTATTCAAAATGCATGAATGAATTCCAACATACCTGACACATAATTATGTACTATTGTTTTTGCAATGCATTCACACAATTAGGCTGTCACAGGATGCGAAGGTTTGTTTTTCGGATGATACATTTCCGGATGGGTTCAGCGTGAGGAAGGGCGATATGATAACGTATCAACCTTATTGCATGGGCAGGATGAAATCTTTATGGGGTGATGATGCAGAGGAATTCCGGCCAGAGAGATGGCTCGATAAAGACGGTATTTTCCAGCAAGAAAGCCCTTTTAAACTCACTGCCTTTCAGGTAACGTAGAGTATATTTTTATTCACCAAGTATCACCCACACTGAGCAAAATTCAATTTGATCTCTCAAAAAAACACAGTCAGGAAAAACATATACTTAAAACACGTTACACATTTATTTATTTTTTTGACAATTTGAAGCTAAAATCTTGGGCATATAGAAATTTTGGAGAGAAAGTTGTTAATTTAAAGGGAAATGATATTTTTGACGACTTTAATACTCCAACTTAAAACCGACCTAGATAAAAATATGACATGTTATTATAAATTTTTAACTTATATAAGCATCATTACTATTGTTTGTTGTTAATTTTTCTTTCTTTATCTACTAGTTTTTCATAACTCCTTTCTTCATCTTTTCAGTTTTTCATAACCGTATCATCTTCTTTTTCATTTTCTCTGTATCTTTCATGGTATTTTTCATGTTGTTAATTTCAAATAGAAGAATTTGATTGGTATAAAATTAAGAACAAAAACTGTAGTATTTTTTAATTTTTCAATACTTTACAATTTTTCTTTAAATTCCTCCTCTGTTTTTGTTTTTGGAGTCACATAGATCATTAATTTTGATCATTATATCAATGAACAAATGCCTATCTAATTATATATATGACATGCAATCTTAAGCATATATGCGTTAGAGATTGAGACGCAATGTGATATATATATATATATAAAATACATCTATAATTTGATATACATGGTGATTGAACCTTTAATAATCAATAAAGATACTATATTAAGATGAAACATAAAAAATGGACTACAACTTTCTAAATAGTTAATTAGCTTATATTTTAAAATGGATCTCATTATATTTGACACATAGGAAGCCACATATATTTAGTGAAGTAGTATGTTTTTATTTATTGAACTAAAGAGCAGTACCCTAATTTAAATCATTGTTATACCACAATTGATTTACTTGGATTACCAAATATCACTAAAATTGAGCAACTTTCTATGTAAACTCTGAGAATACAAAAAAATTTTTTTTAGACAAAAGGTGTATAACTCTATTTTTAAAGTTATTCCCTTTGAATTATAAGTTGTTAACTTGGCCATGAGAATGCTAATTGAATAATTGTTGTTATACAGGCCGGACCGAGAATTTGTCTTGGAAAAGAGTTTGCTTATAGGGAGATGAAGATTTTCTCGGCCATGTTGATGGGAAACTTCATCTTCAAGCTGAGTGATGAACAGGGACCAGTTAATTACAAGACTATGCTTACTCTGCACATTGATGGGGGTCTCCATCTCTGTGCCTCCCACAGATGGGCATGCAAGTCCTCTAGATGCCTATAGTTTTTGTCTAGAAAATATAACAACATGCTGTTGGATTATCCTTTCAATTGTGTGCAAGTAAAGTTCTATTGTTTCATGTAAGATTATGTTGAGATTTGTATGCCCTACGTAGCAATTATATGAATTGTAATAGACATTTTATCTTAATAGAATACGTGGTTTAAGGTTTAATGTTTTTACATACATGTGGTGAATATTATGCTTCGTTTGGTTGGAGGGATAGAAAAATGGATGGAAGGGAAAAAGGGAAAAGAATGGATCAGGCATCCTTAGGAAAGGAAATGTGTTTCACTCTCTTTTTGTTTGGTTGGATGAAATGGATAACAGAAAGAATGGATGGGATGACATTTTTTTTTGATTGGAAAAAAGGGAAAGATGGCTTTTATATTATTTTTATTAATATACCCTTATTATTTAAATTCTAAAAATTCTATATATATTCCAAATTGTTACTAGATTAGAAATGAAAAATACATATTTATGTTAGTTATAATCTTTTCTCTCTCCTCTTCCTCCCAATTTTGGATGGATAAAAAAAAACAAAGGAGGATCCCTCCCTCCTTGCTTCTGCCCTCTTTTTCCTTCCCTCAACCAAACATTAAAAAGTTATTTCATCTCCTCATTTATCCTTCCTCAATCCCATCCCTCCAACCAAACATACGTAACATTAATGTTTATTGATCAATTCATGTATGTGTGTCCATGTGGTGTGCCAGTGTGTGTCTGTGCGTTTATATACAGCATATGCAACCATGCAACCCAAGAAGAAGTGTGTTTTTGTTGAAGGTAAATTGTACTAGTATATAGTAGTTGAGTGGGTGGATAGACTGCTAGTTGTTGAATTCAATGGAGTGAGGTAATTATGGGGTTATTCTACTGATCCACGTAGCCCGTCAACAATGGTGCAAGAAACAACTGTTGGAGGAAGGGATCATGGTGTGGTACACGATATTGAGGAAAATATAGTCCAAAATAAAAGAAAATTATATCCAAATTGATATGAGAAAGAAAAAATATAGAGAAAAGAAAACAATAATTACATATAAAAAGAGAATTGGTAAAGAAAAAATATGGTTAAAAAATTAATTTTTCTCTACCAATTGTTACAATTTTTGAGAAAAAATAAGTACTTTAATTCTACTTTGGGAAAAGGTTTATCGTTATCATGTTGATGAAAAATTAATAAAAAAAATTGTATCATTTTAATTAATAAAAATATTGCAAGTTTCAATAAAATGCCATTATTGTTGGAAACGGGGGCATTAAAAACATAAACTTTGAATGAGATTTTGAATAGATTCCGCTAAGAATTTTTTGTGAATTTATGGACTAGCGCGTTCCTCTCTGCAAGGAGATGAACGTGGTATATTTACTTTCTCAAATCCGTTTCCGGGTGAATGAGAAATTAGCTCCAAAGTAAGGTGTTTGATAAGCCTAAATGGGTTTGCAAAATGTGGGAAATCTTTGTCCCACATCGGGAAAATATTAAAACCCGAAAAGGTACCTTACTACTTATAAATACCCCCCTTTGGATCATTTGCAAATCACTCCAATTCAGAATCCTTTTCTCTAATTCTGAATTCTCTCATTCTTCTCTCTTCTTCTATAAGTGTCTGTGGGTACGAGCCATTATCTTTGGGTTCAAGCCTTAGTCAGTCACTCCAAATCCGAGTTCGAGTCAGAGAGTACTACACCGAGCCGGTTTGCCTATTACTTTAGTTTGCAGTGCTACTACCTAAGGAAGTAAAAGTCGTTGTATTCTTGGAGATAGACGCCACTGAGTCCGTTAGCACCATAGCGAGGCGAATCTGTCTTAAGAATATAGAATCAAATTATAGTCTCAACTTATTTTTAGGTTATTTTATTTAGTTTTATTTTATTTTATAAGATATTATATATATAGATTATTATTTTGTAATAATAATTATATATACACACACATTATTTTTATGCATAATATTTAAATAGTAATACTATAGTGTATGGTATAGTTAGACCATATTTTTGGACTATAATCTTAAGACAGATTCCTCTTATACTGTAGTTTAATTATTTAAATATTGTTGTTATTTTCTTTCTGTAAGTTTGACTGCAGTCTATATATTTAATATATATCAGACGAATGGCAAGTACAAGTACTACTATGCCTAATATTCCCGTCAGTCATGGGGAGAAGCTCGAAAAATTTAATGGGGTGGAGTTTAAAAGGTGGCAACAGAAAATGATGTTCTACCTTACAACTCTAAATCTGAGCAAGTACCTAGCTGAAACTGCCCCAATGCTAGAAGAGGGAGAAACTGACATTACAAAGCTAGGAGCTGTTGATGCATAGAAGCATAGAGACTTCCTATGCAAGAACTACATCCTTAATGCATTGGACAACACTCTATCTAATGTGTATAGTCCAATGAACACTGCTAAAGAGCTATGGGAGTCACTAGATAAGAAATATAAAATTAAGGATGCTAGCTTGAAGAAGTTCGTGGTTGGACGATTTCTAAACTTCAAAATGATAGACTCCAAGACAGTCATGAGCCAAGTGCAGGAGCTCCAGCTGATCCTGCATGATATACATGCTGAGAATATGACTTTAAGTGAATCTTTTCAAGTAGCTTCAATCATTGAAAAGCTACCACCTATTTGGAAAGATTTCAAAAACTACTTGAAGCATAAGTGCAAGGAAATAGGGCTCGAAGACCTGATTGTTAGGTTGAGAATTGAAGAAGATAACTACATATCTGAAAAGAAAGTTGGGAATTCTTCAATGGTGTCAAAAGCGAATGTAGTGGAAGCTGGACAAAAGAATAAAAAGAGGAAGAACTCTGGAGAAGTTCCCAGCCAAGGAAACTACAAGAGGTTCATTGGAAAGTGCTTCATATGCGCCAAGCTAGGACACCGAGCTAAAGACTGTCGTAGCCGCAAAGCACAACATAACCCAAAGAAAAAGACCACTGAGGTGCACATTGCTGAGGAAGATAAGTTGATAGCTAATGTGTCAGAGCTAAATCTTTTAGCCGTGGTTTCTGAAATCAACCTTATGAGCAACAATAGAGAATGGTGGGTGGACACAGGAGCTACTCGTTATGTTTGCTCAGAAAAGAGGATGTTCACTACCTATGAATCTATAGATGTTAAAGAATAACTCTATATGGGGAACTCTTCTACTGTAAAGATTGAAGGACAAGGAAAGATCAAACTACTAATGACCTCAGGAAAAGAGCTCACTCTTAATAATGTGCTGCATATACCAGACATCAGGAAGAACTTGGTCTCTGGGTCATTCCTAAGCAAGAATGGGTTCAAGCTGGTCTTTGTATCTGACAAGTTTGTGTTGACTATGAATGGGGTGTATGTGGATAAAGGATATCTAAGTAATGGACTATTTAAGTTCAATGTAATGATTGTTGTACCCAAAGCTATTAATAATAATAATAAAGCTCATGCGTCTTCTGCTTATATGATTGAGTCATCTGATGTGTGGCATGGTAGGTTAGGACATGTTAATTATGATACGATTTGTAGATTAATTAACATGGATTATATACCTAATTTTAGTATTTATTTAAATAAAAAATGTCAAATATGTGTAGAAGCAAAATTGACTAGAACCTCATTTCACTCTATAGAGCGAAGTACTGAACCTCTAGTATTAATTCACAATGATATCTGTGACTTTAAATCTGTGCCAACCAGAGGTAGGAAAAAGTATTTCATTACTTTTATTGATGATTGCACAAGATATTGTTATGTATACTTGTTAAGAAGCAAAGATGAAGCCTTGGAAATGTTTAAACATTACAAGAATGAGGTTGAGAATCAACTTGGAAAAATGATAAAGATGCTTAGAAGTGATAGAGGTGGTGAATACAAAGCACCATTCACTGACATTTGCTCAGAATATGGTATTATTTATTAAACTACTATTCCTTATTCACCTCAATAGAACGGTGTTGCTGAACGCAAAAATTGTACCTTAAAAGAAATGATGAATGCTATGTTGATAAGTTTTGGTTTAACCCAGAATTTGTGGGGGGAAGCTTTGCTTTCTGCTAATAATGTTTTCAACAAAATACCTCAAAAGAAAACGAATGTGACACCTTATGAATTATGGAAAGGTCAAAAACCTTCCTATAAATTCTTAAAAGTATGGGGGTGTTTAGCTAAGGTTGCGGTTCCTACTCCTAAGAAAGTTAAGATAGGACTAGTGTCGTTGTGAACCAACAAGTTAAAATGTGTTAAAGAGTGGCCAAGTTTGAATTTATAAAGTACCACTACTACCTCTAACTACTAATACAGATAGGGTGAGTATGGATAGTCCCAAAGGATCGGATGCGTGTTTGAAATGGAAACAAGGTTGGATTAGTAGGTCGAGTGATCAAAAGACGGTTTGATTGGTTAATTAAATTATAATGTAAAAAATTCAATAGAAAGCAATTAAAGTAAATAAAGGGTAAAGAACAAGAGAGAGGAATCTTGGGGTTTAGAGGTCACCACTAAGCATCACCTTTCTAGATACTCAATGTATAATGAATGAAGGGAAATGTATGTTGCAATACTAATATGTGTGATTGATTGAATCAACAAGCATGGATGACTAATTAAGCATATATTGTCTAAACAACCTAATGAAAAGCACAATATATCAAACTAAGCCATTATTCCTTCCTTTAAGCTCACAATCAAAATATTAACAAGTTAGATAATTATACTTCTTGCATTCATAAGTATGGAATATCAAACAACAAGCATGGATTGTCCTCCCATTTAGGAAAATAAGGCAACTACACTACAACTAAGCTAGGGACATGAAAATTAAACTAATTAAACTAAGGTAAAGGCACAATCCATCAAGAAATGAGTATGAACCATCAAACAAATCACAAGAATATTCCATTAAAGCACTATGCCTTGACAATCTCTAGATTCATAGCATCAACACACATAGACATGCATCAATATCATAAAACCAAGAGATAAATACATGAATATCTATTATAGCATACATAGACATATGAATAGAATGAAATGATCAATTGGAAGTATTAAACAACACAAATTATTGCAGAAACAAGAATCATATATAAATCAAATGTCAAAACAAGATTACAACACAAATCCCCTCAAAATACAAAACATCAAGATCTAGAAGGCATCTTAGAGCTAACTCTAGC